TTTAGGTAGGTGCTTTAGACCACTGAGCCATCTCACCAGCCCCTATAAGGATTTAAATATTAAAATATCCATGGTTGTTAGAAAATAGCATTTCCATTTTATGTCTAAGGTGTTTGATATTCAGAGAAGATAGTAATGCTAAGCTTACTGCTTTCATTACAGGAAATGTCATTAAGCTTCTCTTCTGGATGTCTAATAAAAAGGTTTGGAGGCCAAAAATTAGAGAGATAGGGTGGGCTAAGAGGATAGACAATATTTTGGTCCTAGTCCTCCAAAGACAATGAGACTCAGGATATAAGGAAACCTCTGCTGTGACATCCTGTAACTCAGCTGAGTCCCTGATTTTAATGATAAAGGAGATTATGAGACTACAGAGAAAAGTGATCACTAATGTATAGTGTGCTTAAGGAAAGTCACCTGCAGAAAAAAATATCTTAAGCTTTCACAGAAAGCAGCTTGGTCAAACAATAGCTGTGACTCATCCAGTTTGCTGACACTGATAAAAGATCTAAGAGGTGCTATACTGTGTTGGAAGGTAAATCCTAAAGAGGGGATACCTTGTGTTATGGCTTGTGTTTAGTTGTCCCCCCAAAGCTTCATGCAGTCATGGGTGGCTTCTGGAGTTTGTGATTGATTATTGTGGGTGTGGATGCTGCACCTGCCCCGGGGCAGGTAATTTGCATTACAATGTAAGGAGCAGAGAGAGGCTGGCCAGCTGCCTGGGCTGCTGCCCCTCCCTGTGCTCTCTGCTCTTTGCCACTGGCATGGAAGGTTGCTCTCTGCCATGTGCTACTCTGCCTTGGAGCCAGCTGAGTATGGACTGAAACCTCCAGTAAATATGAGCTAAATAACCTTTCCTTCTTTCATTTTGAGTGTCAGGTATTTGTCCTCGCAATGAGAGAAGTGTAGCCAAGATACCTTGATAGATAGAAAAACTTAACGTTTTATTAATACTGGTCTCACTTTAACTTGGTCTTAACATCCAGGAGAAAAGTATAATAATGAGATGTGAAAAGCAATGCCATAATAATACGTCAGGTGGGGCTGGAGAGATGGCTCAGTGGTCTAAAGCACCTACTTGGAACAAGCTAAGCTAAGCAAAGCACAGGGACCGCGGTTCCATCCCCCAGCACCACATGCCAGCCAGCCGCGCCCCCTGGTGGGCTGAGCTGGCCACACACACACACACACACACACCCAATAAATAAATGTTTAAAAAAAATAATACGTCAGGTGTGAAACGCTCAAATCACTAGCAACTTCTGAAAACGGCCGGCTGTATGATAGCTCACTATTGTTATGGATTATTGGACTACATAGAGTTAAACTGCTAAATAAAAGTACCAAGAATCTTTGGACCAGAATCAAGAATGAAAAGGTCTTCTAGGGGCCGGGGAGATAGCTCAGTAGAATAAGCGCTTGCCTGGCAAGCGCCAGGGCCTGAGTTCAATCCCTGGTTCCACCAAAAAAAAAAAAAAAAAAAAAAGACCTTCTAAAGAGTTCTCCAAACATAACTTCTCCAAGGTAACAAAACATCCATTGTTTAACATAACAAAACAATAATGGGAAAGACATTGGGAGCCACTGAAGTTGGAAATTAGTCAAATGTGTGAGGGTAGGACAAGGCCTCAGTGCCTAAAGCAGTCAAACTACCTCAGTCCTGCCTGGTCAATGTCAGCCACTAGTCACTAGGCAACCTTGTGTCATGTGATACTAACTTTGCATCGGTATTAATAAGCACCCCTACTGTAGTACTTAGGGTCCTTTGCCAATTAGGCAAACAGACCTCCATCTGACTGAGCTCTTGTCTTTATGTCTATTTTCTCCTCATTCCTGCCACTGTTTCTCCCCAAGGCACACCAAGAGATCAAGGATTCTCTATACCTGGACCAAGGGCCTCTTGACTGCCAGGACTTGGGTGGGGCTGGGGTGTCTGTGCTTCTACCTCTGCAGACATCCCAGACCTCAACAGTGAAATCCCCTCCTATCCCCAGCAGAACTCTGATTCCAGGAGCCCTGTGGATGCACAGGACACCTGTTGCTGCCCGGGGTCAGCTGTGGGCAGGACTTGGACTCCAACCACTGGCCTCCGTGTGAGGTGTCCTGATAGGAAGGATGCCCTTCCTGCCCTCTCTCCAGGTGGGTTTGGCACACCAGCTGGGGTTGGGGAGGAAGGAGGTCATGCTGCCAGCTAGGAGGAGAGGACTTGGCATACCTCTGACACTCCTATCCAAATCCCTGAAACTGAGCCCTATCTTGGCTTGTGGTCACAACTCCCACAGGTCCAGCTCCCTTCTGGGACCCGGCATTGTGTGGGCCTCCAGGAGCCCTGCAACAGGTGGCACGTGTTCCCCTGCCCCACAGGTCGTTCCTCCCGAGTCTCAGGTTCTGGAACTGCCCTAGACTTCCTCCCTTTATCTCTGGGACTCCTGGCCAAGTTCTGCTGCTCTTTGCTTCCTAAGCCAGTTGCTAAGTTCAGTGTATCCGAGGTTCCCTAGGCAGATGGGGGCTCAGGTAGGACTCGAGGGCCTTTGAGTGGGGTGAGAGCCAGCTTCCAGGAAGGGTGGGTTCTCTTTTGCAGGTGCAGAACTGGGGCCTCTGGTTCAGCATGGAAGGTTCTCCTCCTCATGTTGGGACCCCAGGCTTTGCCTCTACCTCTGACTTGGAAGAGTATATATTTGGGTACGCTTTGCATTGCTGTGACAAAATATCTGACGTGCATAACTTAAAGGAGGAAGGGTTTGTTTCATTGACACTTTCTGAGTTTTGAGCCCAGGATCCTGGACACTGAGTGGAGGAAAGATGCTGAGCTAAGGCACCTGGGGAGCACAGAGCAGGGTGAAAGCTCGAGAGAACCAGGGCCAGGTCCACACAGTCCCCCAGCAGAAGGGGACACCCATGGCCACCTGGGACACCCAGAAGTGTGTTATACTAACTCCATGGTGCCTCTCAAGCCAACCCAGCTGCCAGTTTCTGTGAGCTGTCACAGAAGACACAGCTTAAGTGCTGAAGCCCTACCGTGACCCTATGGCCCTGCCCTCTGTACCTGGCAGCAAGAGCATACCTGCCTGGTCACCTGTGCCTCTCTGGTTAGAGGACTCTCCATAGTCTCCTCAGGTGGAGGGTGGAAGAACTCAGGAGAGTGCAGGCCTGGGCTGCCCATGCCCATGTGGGCATGAGAATCCAGGCTAGGATCAGCTACACACCACCAGGACCTCCCATATTTTTGGTGTGTTCCCCTATCCCAAATCCAACCTGGGCACCTCATGGGTCCTGCCTATTGTCTTCTTAGGACTCATTGCTTGTTAAAGCAGAGAGTTACTTTGTGCTCCTGTGAGCTATTTTGGAAATAACAGGACTGGTGTCTTCCGCTGGCCTGTTTTGCTCACCTGCCCAGCAGCACCCATTGCCCTAGCCATGCCCAACTCACATTCATTCCCTGGGCAATACAATCTGGTCAGTATTTCCTTCTTCCCCATGCCACAGGCCTCCCCTTGACATTTGCAGATGCAGGAAATCACAGCTTTTCTTTTCTTTTTTTTTTTTTTTTTTTTTCTTTTGGCAGAACCAGGGATTGAACTCAGGCCCTTGCACTTGCCAGGGAAGCACTTATTCCACTGAGTCATCTTCCTGGCCCTGGAAATCACAGGTTCTTTGCTGGCTTCATAGAATAGTCTCTAGCTCTGTAGGACATGAGTATCACATCTAGCCAGTGTGGCCACTTGGAGATTTCCCCCCACAGCTTCCCAGGAAAGGGGCACTGATGTGCTCTCCCAGTCCTGAAATGGTCCCTCTGGGAATGCCATGTACATGGGACTTAGGCCAGGTGGGCCACACTGGACTCATCCTCGCAAGCTTCCTCCTCAGGTTCACATGGGACACTGAGGGCAGTACACTGTCTTGCACGTCCACTATTGCATGTGGACTTCACACTGCATACGGATCGAAGAGTAGGACTCCACGAGGTTCCAGGGACAAGGTCCTGGGGAGGGGGGCGTTTCTAGAGGTGGATCTGGGACAGAGTAAGAGATGCCAGGGTAAGCCCCTGGCTCGAGGTGCCAGGAAGGTGCCTTCCTCAGCAAACCAGCACACCCATGGTTCCCAGACGAGTGGAGGCTTCACTACCACAGTGCCCAAACCTTGGACTGGGCCTGCTCCTCCCCAAGGAGATCCAGCCAAGGAGTCATTCTTTAGGATACATGGTCTATGTATAGTCAAGGGAAACAAGTCTGACCTCTGGTTTCATATCTCCATCAGACAATGGTGACCACACTAGCTACACTCAGGGAAAGTAGACAATGTCATTAGAACAAAGAAAGCAGATTCTAGGAGGCATCCAGAGCTGAATGGGCTGGGAAGACATAAAGCCTGGCTCCCAGGGATACAAAAACCAAGGTGGATCCTCATGGCCCGGGCTGCACACAGTAAGCTGGAGTGGACAGGGTTCGCCTGGGGTCAGGCATGCTGCTCACAGTGTGTGCTGGAGTCAGGAAATGCTGAATGAAGATCCAGCAGGACTTGGGTGAAGAACCTCCCAGAGCAGGTATTCAGGGACCTCCAACCTGAGGACCGGCACTGCTTCTCCCAGAGACACTTCACGGAGGGTGGGCTCATCTCAGGATGAAGATAGGGGTTAATGAACAACGTCCCTTCCCCAGGAAATGACACAACACAGGAACATGCACACTTTATTGATCCCAGTTGTGGACAGCTGGTCAGGGTGTGGGTTGCAGGACAGAACCCAGCCCAAGGCGAAGGAAGCTGTGCAGGGAAGGATATGCAGAACTAGTGGCCCTGAAGGTCAGATATCGCCTTGAACAACTGCACGGAGGTGAAGGCAAACACAACGATGAGGCCAATGGTCAGAGCAATGCTTAAGACCAGGGCACTGATGTTCAGGCACTTGGCGGTGGAGGCGTAGCTCTGAGCCCCAATCACATCGCCCACCATCTTCCTGTCCCTAGACTGGGGGAGACCAGAGAGTGAGGGCCCTGCCTGACTGGGTCAGGGTAGAGAGAGAGCTCTGACTTGGGGAGCCCAGGCTCATCCTGTCCAGCCAGGTCCCCTGCCCTCACTCAGGTTGGAAACACCCCTCTCACACTCAGACTGTGTACGTGGCCCCAGACCCCAGGAGCAAAGTCCCCTGTGAGTCGTGTCTCTTTGTAACTCCCAGACAGTGTGCGGGCCACCGTCTGCAGTGTAGACAGGGTATTTCTGGTGTGGGCAGTAGGGAGAATTCCTCTGGGTGGATGCGGGACCAAGTGTGAGCCCAGGCTGCCCTGGCAGCCTACCCGTGCCTGCCCTGGGAGATTCCTCAGCACATGCACACACACATACACACACACATGCGCATGCGCGTACACACACACACATGTGCACACAGGATGACCTGCACGCCTCACATATCCCACTGCCCACAGAGGTCTTACACACACACACACACACACACACACACGCACACACACACACACACACACACAGGCTCTGTTCAGGCAAGTGAATCTGGGGCTCACAGATCCCTCCAAGGAGATCACACCCAGGACACTCACCTTTATGGAGTAGGCGAAGGCTATGAAGCCCAGGCAGCAGGCGTTCATGAAGATCGTGTTGAAGAGGGACCAGACCACATGGTCAGGCACAGCAGTGTCACTGCGGATGTTGATCACAGTGGTTGTTGCGGGAACCAGGTTCTGGGTGGCCCCTAGCACGGCCACCTCATGCTCCTCCTGCATCTTTTCATAGTTTGGGGGGAGGCTGATGTTTGCCTGGGAGAAGATGGTCTGGGCTGTGTGGCTCATGGTGCTGATGCAGGACACACTGTGGGTCTGGACAGTGGGCTCTTCTCTGCGACCAGCTCTGCTGTGCAGTTTCGATTTCTCACAAGTTTCTTTTTCCTGCCCAATAGGCAAGTTAGGAATTGGCAGGGTACTGAGTGGGTGGAACTAACTCCAGAGGATCAGATTTCTTTAGGGCAAAGAGGCAGAGAGGGTGGAGATTTGGGGGCTTCCTGTCCTGGATGCAAGCCAGGTCTTGGGTCAACTGACCCCTCCCTGTTGGGGGTGGGGCGCTCTGGACTTTCCTAGGTGCGGTTGTCTCCCCAGCCCAGGCTGACTGCCCTAGGGGCTCACTGTCTCTGTCCAGGCCCCTCCATTAATTTCTTGGTAGGTCTCCCTTCTGGCCCCCCAGGAAGCACTGAAATCTCTTCCCATCAGGGTCCCCCCTTCTGGCACTCATAGTCCTTCTCTGTGCTGAAGCTGAATTTGTTTTGGGAAGTAGGCTCTTGATGCCACCATTCATCCAGGTGTATGATGGCTTTCTCTGTGTCCTTTGACTGGGTCCATAGTCATCCTCTTTAAGTCTGGAAGGGTTCTGCTGACTGCCCCCCCCCTCCTGTCTCCCATTCAAGACTACCTGCCATCCTAGGAGCATCACTGAATGTCTTTCTAATACATATTTTCCCCACTGACTCAGAATTAGACCTCTCTCTCTCTCTCTCTCTCTCTGCTGGAGGTTTTAGTTTTGTCTGATTAACCCCTATGTGGTCAGGACAGCAGACAGCAAGTGGTGAACACAAGCCAGTCTTTGTAGACTTCAGAGTATGCAGTGGAGGGAAAGGAAGAGGATGGGGAAGGACACTGGAGGGCACAGTTGCTGTGACCTGGGCTCTGTCTACAAGACAGTGCCGCTGAGAAAGAGCCACCCATTCTGGAGAAAGGGACATGAGGCTTTCCAGGAGGAGCAGCTGCTCTGCACAGAACAAGGGCTTAGAGCCACCAGCAGAGATGCTTTGTCCTTCTGTGTCACAACACAAAAACTAGAGACTGGGGGGCATTCCTTGCTGCTATGTTGCAGCTGTGAGGAAGCTGTCCCACCACCCAGGCATGCAGGGTGCATCTTTGTGGTGAGACAACTGGCTTAGATGACCTTTAAATAGCAGAGGGTATGGGGCTGGAGAGATGGCTCAGTGGTCTAAAGCACCTACTTGAAACAAGCTTAGCAAAGCACAGGGACCGCGGTTCGATCCCCAGCACCACATGCCAGCCAGACCCGCCCCCTGGTGGGCTGAGCTGGCCACACACACACACAATAAATAAATGTAATAAATAAAAATAAATAAATATTTAAAAAAAAATAAATAGCAGAGGGTGGTGTGTTGCTTTCTCTCCCTCTGTCCCAGGTCAGGTGTAGGAAGTCTCAGAGTTCCAGGTGCCTTGGGTCCTTGTGGACAGGAGAAGATTGGATCTCAGCAGAAATATGCTGACATGCAGGATGTACAAAAGAAGAAAAAGTTCACAACTGAAGGCTGCTGCCAACACTGTCGTTAGGAAGCTCATGCCAGACCCAGCAGTGCCACTTCCTGCAGAAGCAAGTTACATTCGAACAGGAAGTTGTTTCCAGATAGTCATGATACCTGTGACCCTTGCTGTCTCAGATCTTAGGTAACAAACCTATAGTTGATTTTCTAACAAACTGTCTATCAGCAAAACTAAAAGGATTACTCATTTTTTATGATATTCCTTTTGAGCTTCATGTAAAGACATTGTACAGTTGACTCCAATCTAAGCATCAGTGCATCCTTTTTATAATTTTTTTTTGACAATTTGAATTATATTGATGTTCATATTGTATAAACTAACTCATCTAATCAGGTAGTATTTTGATTTTACAGTATCATAGTGTGGTGGTTGATACATTGTGTCAACTTGAGATATTGGAAGCTTGGCTGGATAGGCTTGGGGATTCCACACCCTGGGGTGGGGGGACCCGCCCTAAGGTGGGAGGATCCACCCTAGAGTGACTCAACACAAAAAGGGTATATAAAAGAGTTGAGGAAGGCTTCTGTATGCCTCACTTCCTTGGAGGAGTTCCAAACTTCACAGCACCTTCCTTGGAGGAGTTTGACCATTGCAGCTGTGCCACTCTGGAGGAAACTGGATCTTTGTAGCAGCCACCACCACTTCCTTGGAGGAGCTCCAGTCTTCACAGCTGGTGTGGAAGGAAGAGAGAGAGGCTTGATAGATGCCGCAGCAGCTGCTTGTCCTCTGCTCTTCGTTATTTTCTGCCACCATAAACTGCTGCTCTCTGCCACGTGCCACTCTGCCTGGGAGCCAGCCAAGTATAGACCGAAACCTCCCCAAACTGTGAGCTAAATAAACCTTTCCTCTCTTAATTTTAGGTGTTGAGTATTTTGTTCCAGCAATGAGTAAAAAGTAACTGAGACAGAATTTGGTATCAGGAGTGGGATAATTGCTGTGACTATATCTGACAATGTGGATTACAAGCTTTTAGGAATGAAAGGCTTATGGGAGGAGGTAGAAAAAGTTTGGAGATGTCACTGACTAGTGAAGAGCTGGAATGCCTTCAGCTCTTCTGTATGGAAAATTCTGGTCAGAGCTCAGAAGACTAGAATGCTGATAGAAAGTCTGCCTGTAAAGACAAAGCTGGGGAGGTTTCTGCTGGGAAGAAGGATCGCATTGGTTGTTGGACTGTGGATGATTTGTGTTATGGCTTAACAGAACATTTGTCTGAATTTTGCTCCTGTCCAGAGACTTTGCCTGTGACTGAGATTAAGCACAGTGGACTAGTTAATCTTGTAAAAGAGATCTCAAGGCAATCAAATGTTGAGGCAGTGGCATGGCTATTGTTGGGAGCTTTTAGTCAGATATGTGTTGAGAGTCAAGAGCAAAGAACTCAGAAAGATGATTTGAAGTGTGAGTTTGGCCAGAAAGAAAGTGCCAGGAAGGCTGTGGACTGCTGATATAGAACTGAGATCTCCATTGCCCAGGAAGAACAGGAGAGTAGAAAAGATGTCCTGAGTGCATCATAGGAGGTGGCAGGTTCTTGCCCTTTGAAGCCTCAGAATCACAAAGGTGAGGGACTTTGCTTTGAGGAGAAAACTGTAGAATCCCAAGTTCCAGAATGGAGGTGGTGGCCATACCAGATTCCAGAATGGCCCCAGAATAGAGAATTTGTTCCTTGGAATCAGATCAGAGTACTTAGCAATCTAGGCAGTCGACCCCTACAGCCAAGAGAGAAGAAAGCCTGGCTACTGCTCCAGCTGGCAGCAGCTCTTGGCATCATCCACATGGTGTTGGTTTTATTTTTTTTTATTTTTATTTTTTAAATGTGTATTGTTTCTTTTTCTTTTTTTAAAAAAAATATTTATTTATTTATTTATTTATATATTTCATTTGTGTGTGTGTGGCCAGCTCAGCCCACCAGGGGGCGGGGCTGGCTGGCATATGGTGCTGGAGGATTGAACTGTGGTCCCTGTGCTTTGCTAAGCTTGTTCTAAGTAGGTGCTTTAGACCACTGAGCCATCTCACCAGCCCCCATGGTGTTGGTTTTAGGTGCATTCAGAATGCAAGGTTTCTGAGGTTAAGAAGGCTTTCACCTAGATTTAAGAAGGCTTGGGAGGCCAGGCAATGTGCCTCTGACAGGGCAATGTTTAAAGCTGTGAGTTAGAAGCCTGTTCAGTGGAAGCCCCAGAAGTCTGGAAAAGCCAAGAACATGGATTGTTTGAGGAAAGCTGCAAGGAGGGAGCAAAGCCAGCCCCAGAAAAAAGCCATGGGAGCTACCAGCAGAAGTGCAGTAGAGGTGAAGCCATGTAAGGCTTTTGGAGCTCACAAATCATAACAGATTGCTTTGGATGCTCCACATGGAACTATATAGGACTTAATGTTGGCCCTTCTGAATTTTAGACTTGCTTTGGCCCCAATGGTTTGTATCCTGCTGTGTATACCATTTGTAATGGTAATATTTATCTTGTACCTTTGAACATTGGAAGTGTTTAGCTTTTCATTTGTACAGGGACTCACAGCTAAGAGTTTGCCTTAGATCTTGGAGGGGACTTGGGACGTGGACTTTTCAGCAATGCTGTAACTGTTAGGACTTTGGCAACTCTTAGAGATGGACTAAAATGCCTTTTGCATAAAGGGATGTGCATGAATCTTTGAGGGAGTACCTAGGGACTAGGTTGTTCATGTCATGGTTCAATGTTCAAGTTGTAAATTTTTTTTTTTTTTTTTAAACTGGGGATTGAACTCAGGCCCTTGTGCTTGCCAGGGAAGCGCTTATTCCACTGAGTCATTTCCTTGGCCCCTAAAGTTGTAAAATGTTAATAAGCATGTCTTTGTACCTGGAAACTGGTCTAAGGAAATGTCTGGTTAACAAATTGATAAGGGTGAATTGTACTGGTTGATACATTGTGTCAACTTGACAAGTTTTGAAGTTTTATTAAATGAATCAGCAAAGAGCCAGGATCCTTACTTTGTGAACATCCTCATCCTGTCAAGAGGATGGCAAAGACATTGTGTGAGCTCTACACACCAGTCCAAGGTAGCTTGTTTATAACATAAGGATGGGAGAGAGAGGCTGGCTAGAAGCCGCAGTTGCTGCCCTTCCCTTTGCTCTTAGCTGTTTTCTGCTACCATGAACTGCTGCTCTCTGCCATGTGCCACTCTGCCTGAGAGCCAGCTGAGTATAGACTGAAACCTCCATAAGCTTAATTTTGGGTGTCCGGTATTTTGTTCAGCAATGAATAAAAAGCAACTGGGACACGTAGGATATACACGGCTCCTCAAATTTAGTTCTGACTTTCCTCATTATTCGCACTGGAAAAAGCTAATTATTTCGTCAGCTAGAATTGGAGCATGATTCTTACTTTCTCAGCTCAGTGGTAGGCTCATTAAACCACAGCAGCCACATTCACCAGAGTCATGCAAATGACTGCACAGGTAGCCAGTGACATGGGTGGCAAATGGCACTGCTGCATTTGTTAATGGCAAGGTTGTGCCAATACCCCCATCATCTCTTGAGTTTGGGAGGGGGCTACTTAAGCCTGCAACAGGCGCTAGCTCTGGTTATCAGTCAGAGTTGCCCTGTGGATGGCAGATCTGGTC